CCATCTCTACTAAAAAAAATAGAAAGAAATTAGCTGGACAACTAAAAATATAAAGAAAAAAAAAATTAGCCAGGCATGGTGGCACATGCCTGTCGTCCCAGCTACTCCTGTCATCCCAGCTACTCCTGTCGTCCCAGCTACTCGGAAGGCTGAAGCAGGAGGATCGCTCGAGCCCAGGAGTTGGAGGCTGCCGTGAGCGAGGCTGACGCCACTGCACTCACTCTAGCCTCCGGGCGACAGAGCCAGACTCTGTCACAAAAAATAAAATAAAACAAAATCACGAAATGCCAGAGGTGGGAAGCATTTGACAAAATGGCTTCACAAAAAGGGCCCATCCGACCCCCAGCCAGCGATCCAGCACTGGGGACGGTCCCCCAGCTCCTCTCTCGCCGCCCTGACGAGAAGTGACCCAGCCCGTCCTCTGTGGCAGGGCGTGGGCCAGTCGCTGGACTGTTTGTTTCCTGCAGCCCAAGCTGCTGCCCGAGGGCTGTTGTTTGTTTCTCAAGCAGAGATCCCCGTCTCTGCGGCCACCCGGGAGTGACATTGAGACACCGATTTCTGGAGGACAGCGTTGTTTTTTTTTTTTTTCCAGCACTGCCAGGGTGCAAAATTGTTTGCGACGGAAGGGAGGACGGGAAGGCCCGTGGAGGTCAGTGTGAGTCAGGGACGCTGTTCGAGGGCACAGCTGCGGTCACCCCACGCCGCACAGGTGGCAGGTGAGGACACTGCAGCTCAAAGAGCACACGGAGGGGCTCATGCTGAACCCGGGTGGTCTGGACGCCAGTCCAATGTGGATCCCGTACCCTGCGCGGCCACGTTGCCAGCTACCCCGGGCAGGGTCCAGAGTGTCCCCTGGCCTGCACGGGTGCACCAGCTCCTGGGGGCACAGGGAAGGGGGGCCACCACTAGGACTGGGGTGAGGGACGGGGCGTTTGCAGCCAGCACCCTGGAGGTTTGTGTGGACCCCTCCCCCCAGCTTTGTAGGCGTGTGTCTGCAGGTCTGTGTGTCCGTGTGTCTGCATGTGAGTGCGTCTCTGCAGGGTGTCTCTGTCTCTGTCTCTGTGTCCCTGCTACTTTCTGCGTGCATCTAAGCGTGTCTGTGTGTCCCTGCGGATGTCATGTTGTCTGCGTGTGTCGCGTGTTGTTTATGTGTCTGGGTCCGTGTGCATGTGGTGTCTCTGGGGGGTGTCTGTGTATATACGGTGTCTCTGAGATGTCGTGTCT